AAAAATCTTTAAAGCAACAATACCAGTAAAGCTGAGAGGAAGGACTAAAAGAGTTTCCTCAGAAAATTAAAAATGGAATTGCTGTGACATAGCAATCTCACTTCTGGGAATATATCCTAAGAAGTCAGAAAGAATGTATGCACCCCTATGTTCATAGCAGCATTATTTACAAACCTAAGATCTGGAAACAGCCTAAGTACCTCAGTACATGAGTAAATAAAACAAAACTGTGGTACATTTCCAAAATGGAATCCTATGCAGCTATAAAAAAGAAGGATTTCTTACTCTTTGCAATATCATGGAGGGACCTGGAAATTATTATGCTAAATGAAATAAGCCAGACAGAGAAAAACATCACATGATATCACTTATTTGTGGAATATAATGAACAACATAAACCCATGAACAAAATAGGTCCATGGAGGCATGGAACAGATTGACAGACATCAGAGGGAAAGGGGTAGAAGAGAAGAGATAATATTAACCAAAGAACATATATGCACATATGCATAATTCATGGACACAGACTATGGTGTGGTAAAGACCTGGGGAAGGGAAGGGACTGGATGAAAGGGGGAAAAGGGAGAGAAAATAGAGGGCATCTGTAATACTGGCAACAGTAAAAAGAAAAACGATCCTTTTAATTTGATGTTTATAGTTTTGTCCTTTAGGCCTCCAAAAGTCAGATCGAGAGAAGATCTAAAAGCTTCCTAGCTAATCTGAACACTATAAGTAGTCAGGACACATAATTCGTGTCCAAATATGGGTAATTTTTGGCGCAAATGTTCCAATTTGGACTGTTATACAAGACAAATTACTTGTCCTTGCAAATATCTGCTTCAGTATGTGATACACAACCAGAGTTTGGAAAATGACAGCATTTCTAAGTCAAAAATTAAATTAGGGGAGCAATAAAATACTACTATAAAGCTAACTATTTCAAGTTGCAAACCAGAGGCATATACTTAGAAGCCATATTGAAAATAATGGTAAGATACAAAACAGAGACAACAGCAGAAACACGCTTCTGTCTTTTGGAAGCTGCAATAGTGAGCAAGGCACTCTGTTTGGCTAGCTATCCTGAGATAAGTCATTTCACATGGCAGTCTTGATTTTACAGCTCTCCACAAACTATATTTCCATACTTTGCTTTTCCAGTAAGATGCACAACTTCAAAATTAATTGAGTATCAGGGATATCTGTATATATGACTGTGTAAAGAATAAGAGCACATACAAAAAAAAAATCATACTTTTGTGGCTCACACAGTAATGAAGATCCAAAATGTGAATTAATTATTTTAGAAACTTAAGTTACAAAGACAATGTATCACTTAAAGCTTATTTTAATTAGCCTTTACTATCAAATATGCTTTTCCTCTATCGCAATAACATGATTTAATTTTGCCTAATTTATATGCTACCAAATCCATCTACTTTCCCTTTAAAAATACTCAATTGTCTAACAGAAAATAAATTCTTTTAAACTACAAGTTATAAACAAGTTAGAATAAGTAATATAATTATTACTTATTCATCTATTATTGTAACATTAGAGGCCTGGTGTACAAAATTTGTGCACGGTGGGGGGGGGTGTCCCTCAGCCAGCCTGCACCCTCTCCAATCAGGGACTGCTGGCTCCCAGCTGCTCACTTGCCTGCCTTCCTGATTGCCCCTAATTGGTTCTGCCTGCCAGCCTAATCATCCCTAACCACTCCCCTGCCAGCCTCATTGATGCCTAACTGTTCCCTGCCAGCCTGTTTGCCCCTAACTGTCCCTGCCATTGCAGGCTTGAGTCTCTTCCCCCGCAACTGCCCTTCCCTGCAGGCCTGGTTGCCCCCAACTTCCCTCCTCTACTGGCCTGGTCATCCCTAACTGCCTTCCCCTGTTAGTCTGATCCCCCACAACTGCCCTCTCTTGCAGACCTAGTAGCTCCCAACTGCCCTTTCCTGCTGGCCTGATGGCACACAATTGCCCTCCCTTGCAAACCTGGTCCCTCCCATCTTGTGGTGGCCATCTTGTGTCCACATGGGGGCAGGATCTTTGACCACACGGGGGCAGCCATCTTAAGTGTTGGAGTGATGGCCAATCTGCATATTATTCTTTTATTTGATAGGATAGAGGCCTGGTGCATGGGTAGGGGCCAGATGGTTTGCCCTGAAGGGTGTCTCAGATCAGGGTAAGGTTCCCTTTGGGCATGGTGGGGCCTGGGCAAGGGGCCTATGGTGGTTTGCAAGCCAGCCATGCCCCCCGGCAACTCAAGTGGAGGTTCTGGTACCTGGGATTTATTTATCTTCTACAATTGAAACTTTGTAGCCTTAAATGGAGGCTTGAACTGGCCAGGATGTGCGGAAAGCTTGGTTTCCTCCATTGCCAGGGGCAATCCTAGGCTCCTGCTCTCTCCAGCTCCATGGCTAACACCATTTTTGTTGGAATCTATTTATCTTCTATCACTGAAACTTTGTGGCATTGAGTGGAGGCCTAGGCCAGCAAGGTCAGGTGGGTAGCTTGGCTTCTTTCATTGCTGGGGAAACCAAAGCCTCCCTCCTGCTATCTCTGGCTGCAGCCATTTTGGTTGGGTTTATTTGCATATTTGCTTCTGATTGGCTTGTGGGCATGGCTTGTATATGTAGTGGAGGTACAGTCAATTTGCATATCACTCTTTTATTAGATAGGATATGCTTTTCTTAAGTATAATTATGTTACTCTAAGGATACAACATTCTAAAATAATGCAACTAATGGTAAGAGAGCCTAAAGCAACTAAACTGATTTTTCTTCAAAGACTGTATGTAAATAAACATTTTAAATTTGGAATATAATTTTTCATTGACTTATATAATTAATAAATGGGAGAAGTAATCTTACAGAAAAAGAATTTACAAAAAGAAAAACTTCAAGTGAACCAATCTGACAAAGAAGAGATCATTGCAAATTCTAAACATCTCCTGGCATTTTTGTTATTCATATTTTTTCGTATTTTAGTTTTTACTTTGTTATTTCCTCTAACAGCAAACTTCAAAGCTTGCATAATAGAAGTGAGGCTTCTATCTCTCTTTCTGGCTGTCCTACTTAACAGGCTCCAACTAAAAGTAGGCCAGGGCAGGTGTTAGCAATGACATGGCCCTACCACAGACTCGAGCCATCTGCTCCTTGTCAGGGCACAGGGGTACCACATAGCTATGCCAGTCAGAGCTTAGGTAATGCATGATCAATTTCTCTTCAATTTCATGTAGTTGGTAATAAGTACATGCGTGCATAATAAATGTTGAAGGATGCCAAGAGTACAGTAGCTTATAGCAAAAAAAGTCATAAAGTAGTAACATTAAAATATCCAGAATATTTATTTTCCCATGAAGTTCTATTGCTTCTTTCCAAGGCTTATCCTTATGTGGTGTTATTTAAAGGTCAGTTTCCCCATAAAAATATCTCAAAGTTTGCCAGAGAGCTATCCTTTCCTATCTTCCGTCATAGTGACTCTTTTGGGTTAGGTGAGAAAGATGGTGCTGTGGATATAGGAAGAAAATGGGTCTATCCGATAATTAATGAAATGGTATGAATTAATTTATCAGATTAGCCAATTAATACTGTAGAAGAATTGACTGCTGCAATAGGGGCAATACTAGATGCTGAAGACAAATGTTCATTTTACAAAGTTTTATAAGCACACACAAGTTTTCTAATTATTTCTATAATTTCTGCATAGAAATGCTTTGTATGATTTTACTAAACCATAATTTTAGTATAATCTGCTTTTTAAATACTAATTTTTCTAGAAAATATTGTCTATTATTTAAGCTTAAAGTCATTCATGGTGAAAGGAACAATGATGTTCATAGCAACATTTAAAGTGTTGGCATCAAATGCACTATTTTATGCATAAAAGAGTTTGTAGTAGGTTAATGTTTGATATGACTGATAGTTTCATCACACTCAGAAGCAAGGGTATTATTAAAAAATGATCTCCCCATGCACTTTGCTACAGAAACTCATTAAAAGTTGCAAAAAACCATAATTACTGATTGAACAATCTCACCATATTCTCAACTGGCTCTGAAGATAGGAGCTATGGATTTAATCTACATCCCATTGTCCAAAGGGGTTTTTTTGATCAGTTATAATTATTAAAACAAAGTTTTATAAGCATACACAAGTTTTCTAATTATTTCTATAATCTCTGCATAGAAATGATTTGTATGATTTTACTAAACCATAATTTGACTATAATCTGCTTTTTAAATACTATTTTTTTCTAGAAAATATTTTCTATTATTTAAGGATAAAACTAAAGAAATTTCACAAATAAACTCATTTTATATAGGGAAGAAGGAGTTATAATGTTTACTTATAAATGTTTCAGAACTATATTCAGTTTGTTTTTTTAATATGTTTAAGAAACATTTTTATGAATTTTCTAATTTATAAGATGTATTTATATTCTAAGTAATTGCAAACAAAAACCTCCTGTAAGGCAAGTTTCAGAACTAATCCATGATTCATTATCTAAACTTTAATTGGCACAACTTCTGAAATTCTAGGACCATATGGAAAATAATGAGTCCTAATAGGTCTAAGGTGATAGGATGGCAGGGGAGCAAGGCAGCCAGAAAACCATCAATTCAGAATGCCTAACAACTGCAATACCATTTCCCCAGAGATCCAGAACAATGTGTTCTCAATGTTTTATTGGTTTTGCTATCATAAAACTAACCCGCATATTACTTCTCATTCTGTGTGAGACAACGATGAAAATGAAAAGACAAAAACAAACCAAAAACTGGTTTCTATAATTAAAAATGAAATTGGCTGACTGTTAATAAAAAAGGCAGCAATTTAGAGTTACCATAACAACTTGAGGCAACTGTTGACTGACATTGCAATCTGCTGCATTTTTATAAATAGCAGTTGATTTCCCCTTTTTTATTTTAACTAGTTTTAGTGCTTATTGGAGGTGATGGGACAACTGTGCTTTAACATGATTTCACTCATCAAGCAAGTGTACCTCTTCGCTGCTGTCTTCATTATAAAATTCATCCTCCATTTGGGTCACACCGGTATCCTCTGTTAGATCCAGAATAAATGGGCACCCCTCTGGGGACATGTTCTGAGTCTTTCCGTGCGGTGCTGATCGCGGTCTTGATGAAAAGGTAAACACGTCCTTTGGGACAATCCAGGTCTCCTCTGCCTGCGGGTCCTGCTCACTCTCCTTGCTGGTTTCCAGCCACAAGTGTGAGGTGTGGCAGGAGTCATCACCCAGAAGAGACTGTCTGCTGGATTCCAAATGGCGAATGTGATCATCACTGTTGGGAAATATCCATTCATCTGACGTTTGGAAGAGATGACAAAAATTAGAGTAGTGTTCCATGAATGTTATTTTAGGCAACTAGGTTAAAATTTCCTGTTATTGAAACAGATTTATTAAATAAAACAAAAGCCAAGGATGGCAATTTATCTACCATCATGTAATCTGCCAAACATTTAACCCATAGATCAGTGCCTACAGCTCTGGGCAACTCACATACACTTCCTTACCATCTGAGTTGAAACACTGGCCAAGACATTTATAAGTTTGAAATAATTATCACCTGTCTTGAAGCAAGTTCTTTATAGCACAACTTCATTAATTTGACATTCCAGAAGGGGGAAATCTTCCAGAATTAAAGGGGCTGACTTACTAATGTCTTCTTTTAACTGTAGGGCAAGGTGCTAACAAGCCTCTTTAAACAAGTGTGTGGGCACTGTCTGGATTATAAATCATGGAGGAGAGGAAACCATGAAAAAGAAACAGCCTTTCCTCTCCATTCTACCGAATGAAACAGGAAACTTCACAGACTAAACTGAGTAGACTTTTCAAGTGCTAGTAAATCCACAGAAATATTTGCTAATGTGACTGATAGATTCTGCTGGTGAAAAGACCTTTATATTTAATTTTAGGAGAGAATATTTTGATATGAATTTTTTTTTGCACAGCATTATTTGTTTTCTTTAAAAATACAATATACTACCACTGAGATACCTTTTTAAAAAATCAAAACTTTAAAAAATTATAATCTTTTCTCAACACTGAGGTAGATTTTATAATTATGATCCAGGCAAGCTGGAAATGACAACTCTATATAAAGACATAAACAAAAGCATGCCTTTGTTTAGAAAGACAGCAAAAGAGTTGAGCATTTTTTCTAACTTAGTTTATTTTTCATGAAACTTACTTTTTGCTGCATTACGTCAATGGTGACAATCTTACTAAAATCTGTGTTCTGCAGAACCACAATGTGGACATGTTTATTTTACCCCCGATTCTTGAATCCTATTATATTTACCATCACAATAAAAATATTGTAGAGATAGCTAAGATTTGCTAACTTAGTTTCAGTGCTTGAAATGTTGAAGCTTTTACTACAAAAGCACAAGCAACAAACAAAAAGCCTTTAAAAAATAACATTAGTGACACAAATAAAATTGTATTTATCACAATTGTATAATATTAATTGGTTTCTTAATCTAAGACTATCATTGTATAACAGAACTTGCCTATAAAAAGGGTGATAAATGCACATTTCTTAGAGAAACTCTATTAGGAACAGGCTTTCACATTTTCAGGGATGAAATCTAGGGAAATGGCTAAAGGCAGGCTGCATGTAGTTCACCTGAGCACCTCCATGGGGAGTCAGTGTAGCTGTGGGCAGGTGGAATGAATAGATTCACTGGGCTGTCCTCTTTTGGACAGCAAACCCCTTTGCATGGTGCTAAGCACATAGCAGGTGCTTTGTAAACAAAGTTGGTGCTTTAATAAAGGTTGAGAGAAAAACACACACACACCAATGTGTTGCATTATGTTCATGGATATGTAAAAAATAATGGAGGAAAAGATACAGGGATCTTCATTATGCAATTAAACAACTTGTATGACCTATTGCCAAACATATTACTAACTGTCAAAAAGTCAAGGTAAAAGGAGTGTTTACACCAAACAAACTAATTATCTCACTACCACACGCTTTTTTGGAATTTGTAGTTTTACCTCAAATATTTCCATATCAATGTAATGAATAATTTGGCGTGTTTTCTTAGGAAAGTATGTAAATGACTGTGTAATCACAATATTGCAGCAAACAAGATAAATGCAAGAATGATCACCTAAACATCTAATTAGTTTTTCTACACAGTCAGATTTATGCCGAAGACACTAATTACGCCTAACATTTTAATGACGGCTTCAACATTGCATAAATAAGACTGACAAACTACAAACCATTATAATTTATTTTCCCTTCTCCCTTGCTCAACAACAATTTGAAAAAAAAAAGAAAGAATCCATGAAACAATTTGCCTTTGTTAAAAAGTACTACACACCTGCTAGGCAAGATAGGTGGATGGGCTTAATGCTCTACAACCAGCCATCTCCATCACGGAGAGGACTGAAGAAGTGCAACAATTTCCTTTGGGCAAGGTGACAATGTCATGTGAAAACTTCAGAGTCTTAGACTTTCATTCTGAACAGGACAATCAGTGCATTAAAACTTGAAAATAAAAATACTCTTTCATCCACTAAAGTTTGACATAAAATTGGGGTTAAAACGATAGATTTTAGCAAATGACTGCATCATGGCTTTTTCAAAAGGACTGGGTTTGAAATATTCAACACATTCATATCTTATTAATTATTGACAATTATAGCATAAAAAAGATGCAAACCTGATTCATCAGGAGACTGGGGAGCTGGAGTGCTGGGGCTCACCGTCCCAGCTCCTTGCTGGGACTCAGTGATGAGGACAGCTGCTTTATCTCCATTCCTGCTATTTCCTGAAGAACTGCCTTTATCAAATAAATAGTTTTCATCATATTACTTTTGTGATATTTATAAAAATTATATTTTGAATAACAGTATTAATTTGATGTACTTTACTATATGATTATTGTAAAGTAGCTAGAGGTGACACTGCAGGTTATATGCAATTTCTTTTCAGTAGAATGTATTAAGATGAACTCAGCAGCATTTTTGTAGAGGCTCATAATATAATCTCTGAATACTTGCATGGGGACATTTTAGATTTAAGTTTCACAATATGTGATAAAAGTAATTCTAAAACCCATGTAATTTTTAAAGGGTCTTATATTTTTTCCCATTGGTTCTACATAAATTGGAATGTTTTCTTTAAATTACAATTGTTACTGAACTCCCTCTACTCTTTTAAACCAAGCTCTTTCCTTCAGGACCTTTAAGAAAATGGGTAAGGCATTAATTACTGATGAATTAATGTTTCTATCCATTATTTTGTAAAAATAACCAAAACCTAGCATGCTGAATTACGGCCTACCCAAGAACCCTACACTTTTGAGAAATTATGCTAAGAGGCGTGCACATGATACATTCTGGGCTTGATTTAGGATAAATAATGCAGGTGTAAAGAAATCTACATATATTATACATGCTTCAAGTCCAGCATTTAAAAAAAGTAACTACAGTAGCCACCTATATTTGTCTAATGCTTTACTAGACAAATTGGAATTTGCAAAGAGTTGGAATTTTAACATTGTAGTATCAGATGGCAAGGAGTTCAGAGGGAGAGGCAGAAAAAACAGCCACCCCCCAAAAAATGTGAAAAGATCTCAATGTAAAAAGAAGAGCCATAAATGAAACATGAAAAATTATAGGTTAAGCCCAATTTCAGTAAAGTCTATAGGCAGGAACTTCCTGTATCAAATGTGGGCTTTAAAAAAATAATAACTTAAACTTATTCAGCCTTTGAGAGTAGAATCAGAAAGTCCTTTATTTCTGTAGTACTGTCTATTTAATCCAGCAAATTTCTGTTAGGACTCTAGAGCAATTCTTTTGCAGAAAATTTGATTTCCACAATCCCTATAGAACAGACATTTAGATTTTAAATGAATTGGTTCATATTTCTTTGAATCTTACAACCTGCAGAGAGAGATTGCATTGCTCTGAATAATATACTGATATAAGATAGCATTGAATTAGTGCCATACCGCTGGGTGTCTCTGTCCTTTCTCTGTTGGTGCTTTTTAACCGTAATCTTCTCCTGTTATTATTCTTATCTGCTGATGGTTCTTGAGGGGGATGTGGATGCATAATATGCAGATTGGCTGGTACATTTTCGTATCAAAGAACAAAAAGCCGGAATAGAAAGTACTATATGGTTTGAAATAACTCAGTAAATATAATTATAGCTATAATGAGAATGTTCATGTATCATTTTGACATTATGTAAAGCTGTATAAAAACTTATTCCTTCACAGAAAATGGGTGTTTATTCTTATTCTAACATTAGGATTGTATCAGGTTTTCAAAATTACCAATACATTTTATTCATGCGACATAACCTTATAGAGAGAGCTACAAGTAATCCGATTAATGTTAATCATGCAATATGCTATATTAAAAATATAAAAAATGAAATTGACAGCCAATACCAAAAAATTTATTGCTTCCTTTAAAAGAGAAAGCATAGTTGTCTGGTTGTAGGCTGTGGGCTTGATCTCCAGTAAGGGGAGTTCAGGAGGCAGCTGATCAATGTTCTGCCCTCACATGGATGTTTCTTTTTTTTTTCTCTCTCTCCCCTTCCCTCTCTCTCTAGAACTCAATAAAAATATTAAAAAATAAAAGGAAGCATAGTTAAGTATGATGCAATGAGAACTTAGAGGATAGTTTCCAGAAGAACGCTAGGAGACTGGTATCAAACCTAAAGAATTCTTAAATATAATTTAATTCTGTAATAATATATTCAGAGCAAGCAGCATTTAATATTTACTGAATGCTTAATTTCTTGGCACAATATGACTGAGTTTTTCTCCTTACAACCTCACAATGACCCTTTGAAGCAGCTGTTATTGAGCACTATTACTATGGCCAGTAGTAATTGTATCCCCATTTTACAGATGAGGATACTGAGGCTTACAGAGTTTAAAAAACTTGATCAAGGTCTCACAGATAGTGGTAGGTCTCACAAACAGGTGGGGCTGGAACTAAATATCTATATTATTCATTTCCTGCTCAGTTTAATACTCCATGGAAGATGTAATTTCTAATAGTGTTCATTAATTTCTAAATCAAATAAAATAAACTCAAATGTCTCCATTTCAACTCTCACAAAGTCAGACCAGTAAGAGTAGAAAAACTGCCAAAGCCTGTTTGGCTCAGTGGTAGAGCGTCGGTCTGCGGACTGAAAGGTCCCAGGTTCGATTCTGGTCAAGGGCATGTACCTTGCTTGCAGGCACATCCCCGGTAGGGGGTGTGCAAGAGGCAGCTGGTCAATGTTTCTAGCTCTCTATCTCTCTCCCTTTCTCTCTGTTAAAAAGCAATAAAATATATTAAAAAAAAAAAGAGTAGAAAAACTGACAAGAAGTGAATTCGTCTCAATTCCTTCCAATGATTACAGAGTGAAAATTGCTATACCTCTCAGTAAACTTTGAACTCTCAATCTGTAAAATGAGATGAAGTCTTTTCTTCATCAACAGGGTTGTTTTAGTATTAATAAGAGAAGACAAAGAACACTTTACAAATGGAAAAGATTAATTAAAAGATAAAATTAAATTAAAAAAACTTAAAATGCACATGAAATTCCTAAAATGTAGTGATAAAAGGATGTTATATTATTTCCTTAGGAGTTATCATAAAGTAAAAACACTGGGTACTACAGGAGTTTGAAATAATGGAATAAATAGAATGATAGTTTTCAGAGGATTCATAAATATATACATATATATTTATATATATATATTCACACACACACACACATACACACACATATATGAATTCTAAACATATTTCAATATCTATGTGGTAATTATCTGGACTTAAGATCTAGTCATAAATATAATTTCAATTTTAACAAGGTCATTTCTCACTATTTTCAGTAGCTACCAATCTTTATGCATGATTCATTCTTACCATGAACAGGTACAGTCAGCTTTATTTGGCGAATATTTTCTTTATCTCCTTGCTCCTCAGACTCAGAAATCAGCAAAGCTGACATTTCTGCACTGTTAACACTCCTCTCTACTGTGGACGGTTGGCATGATCGGTTATTTTTGGACCCAATGGATCTTATTGTCTATAAGGAAAAGAAATTATCTTGCACATTTTAAAATATAGGAACTACACTTATTTCTAATACCTACGTGGAAGAAATAATATTTAGAGAAATTAAGAATGAGGGGAAAAAAGTAGAAGAAACGAGAAATTTAAAAGTTGTTTGAGAGGGAAGTTATGAAAGGAAATTAGAAACAAGGGGAGAAATAATGAGACAAAAAGACAAGTCTCCTAGACATGTAAATTAAAATGTGCTTATTTGCTACACTCCATCTTTAGGAGGTAGGAATTGAGATGAAAATTACTGTGATTGTCAGAAATTCAGAGGAAATTAAAAATAAAAATATAACATTTGAGAATCTGTTCAGCGTAAGGTTTCTGGTGAGAATCCAACTCCCTCCTGAGGGAGACCACAAACTGTGCTCACATATATTTTTACCTTTAAGTTTTGTGAACATATTTAATGAAAAGAATACTCAAAATTGTTAAGTGTGTTGACACGACAAAAAGGAAACAGTTTTAAGGTCTTTTAAAGTCCAGAGTTTCTGTTCAAAACTTATTCAAGCCTTCTGCTTTGGCATGGAGTCTCTCAAACCCCCATGCTGCCGCATCCAACCCCACACTGGAAACCACCCTTCCCTCCCTTGCCACTCACTGGAGATAGGGTCCTCAACCCTTGCTCCTACCTCACTGGACATCCTCAGGTTATTTCTTCTGCCAGAGAGTGGAGGTGGGCCAAGAACCTTGGATCCAAAGGCAATATGACAAACATCTTGATTTTTACTGTTCCGCACACTACCTGTCCCTCTGTTAAGGAACAGATCTGTTTTGTTAAAGGAAGGTAATAACAGTAAATTAATCGATGAAATGGCACTTATTAAAAATACAGATATAGGGGCCCGTTTGGACGGTGGGCAGAAATCTATCATTTTAACAAGCTCACTATCATTTGAAAACTACTACCACAAATATTTTTCCTCAAAGAAAGAGAGAAAGAAAAGTGGAAAACTACTAAAAAATACATCTTATTTTTCTCTTTATGGGAATAATTTAAATAAGACTATGCAGCTCACCTGAACAAATATTTGCTTGAGTACTCTCTCAGGCATTTCCTAGAGGTTGTCAGTGACACAAAATAGATAAGACATATTGCTTGCCCTCAGGGAGTCTGAAGGAAGGTGATAGTAAAAGTAAACATAACTATAACATAAGTCGGACCAGTGGGAATGGTGACCACCTGAATAGACCTTGAATGACCGAAGAGTTAAAAAATAAGAGATGTGCTGAAACCGGTTTGGCTAAATGGTTAGAGCGTCAGCTTGCGGACTGAAAGGTCCCAGGTTCGATTTCGGTCAAGGGCATGTACCTTGGTTGTGGGCACATCCCCAGTGGGGAGTGTGCAAGAGGCAGCTGATAAATGTTTCTCTCTCATCAATGTTTTCTAACTCTCTATTCCTCTCCCTCTCTGTAATAAAATCAATAAAATACATACCAGTATATAAAAAATAAGAGATGTAGGGTGCCCTAGGCTAGAGAAAGGGTCTGAATAAAGGCATTGGAAGAGCAAAAGGGTAGGGTATGCTTGGGGAATAATGAATGTACCAGTTTAGCTGGAAGGGTGGACTAGGGTCACATTGCAAAGAGCCTTTACATGCTAAGAGCTTACTCTAAAGTTGGTAGGCAATCACTGAAGGTTAGGGAGAGAAAGAAACAACTGGTATCACCTCCAGAATTAGGCAGGTATGCTCACCACACCCTGCTACCTTTTCCTTCCGGGCACACAGATAAATTATATTTCTGAGCCTTCCCTGTAGTTCCATGAACCATGTGATGGGTTCTGATTAATGGAACGTGAGAAGTGTAAACCACTTCCTAAAACCCCCTGCAAAATCCTCTGTGCTCTCTCTTCCCACATCACTTGAAAAGATGCAAAATATTCAGTGAAAGGCTTTTCCCAGGGAAGCCACTAGATGAAAGGAGGCTGGGTCTCTGAGTGACCTATGGAAGGCTGCCTAAGGAACGCTTGATTAGACCAGAACTGTGGTTCCTTGTGACTATAGTTAGCCTCCACTCACCAATACAGCAGGTGAGGGTGATGGGCCTTGCCTCAAAATACTGCCCACAACCTGAAAAACCTTCTGCTGTGCCCACTTGCAAAACAGGACCAACTGGAATAAGACGTTGGCCCTGAATGAGTCCACATTCTTTCTATAATCCTGGACATTTAAGAGCTACTGACAAACAAACCACACACACACACACACACACACACACACACACACACACACCAAACCAAATCTAACGAAATAAAAAGGGCTTCCTCACATATCCATAAAAATAGAACATTACAACTGCACAAACAAAATTTCCCTCATCAGTCCATTCAGTTCTCTGTAATTGTCCCTCTGGATCTGGGGTCAGTGAACTGCTTTCAAGAAGCCATCTGCTTTCAGACTAAAGAGTCCTAGAAATCCTGACTCCGTCCACTGGTGTGGCATGAAGTTTGTCTATGCTTTGCCAGCATGGAAGTCTGGACCCAAGAGGCTTTGCTGAAGTATCTATCAGTAGTTCAAAAAAAATCACCATTGTAATTAGCTAGGTATTAATAACAGGAACAGAACTAAGGGGAGGCCGGACATTAGAAGCATGGCCATCTGGGCAGCTTCACTAGAAGCTGCAACTTGTCTCTCCCCTGGGAACCAGTGATCCATTCCCTCTGCAGACCAATCACTGAGGGAAGGGACTGGACAAAGGGGAGCTGGGCACATGCGCAATAAGGTCTGGATGACATAGGAAATGTACCTGTCAGTCTAAACTGGGACAGAAATCATTGGCCAGAGAAGGTGGAGGCCACTACAAGCCAGTGAACATGTGGAAATACACGATTCCCATATAAAGCGGTTCATACCCTTGGGACTCTTGGCTCTTGTTATCCTCTTGCAGTTGCCTGTGTTCCTAGAAGCTGAATGGCCCATGGCCATGTAGACCCCATGTCCAATGAAAGATGGACTGTGTCGGGGACCACAAGCTAAACTAGCTGATGCTGGATTAGACCGTTGGATCAAACTCTGAACAATGGCTCTAATCCCAGCTCTGCTGAAGGCAAAATGGACTTCTTCCCTGGTGGGACAGAGGGGAAATGGGACCTGGGAAATTCAGGAGTTTAATTCCACAGAAATAAAATTTTCTACAATATCTTCTCCTCCTGTACAAGTCTCAGAAAATTCCTTTTCTTCTGACATCTCAAGAAGCATACTTTCCCCGGCAACCGGGGGACAAGGTTAGCTTCCCAAGGATAACAAAACACCTGATCCTTTCTGGAAGTGTCCCTGAACACACAAACCGTGGCGTTAGCTTAGAGCACAGCCTTCTTGCTAGCATCAGAGTAAAACAGAAACTGTCTGTTGATGATTACCTTAGATCAGGTTGTTTTTAACAATACCATAGAATGAATGGCAAGAGAACAGAAAAAAAAATGAGCACTGGCTTTCTGTCTGACCTATTCCCCTGAAACATTCCTGCAGACAGCTAGCTGGTCTCATTAGCCTCTGCCATAGAGCTGTAATTTTATGGTGGGGGAATTAAAAGCCACTTTTCCAGGCAATAGCATGAGAAAAGGAATAAAAGTTGTGAAAACATGACTTATTTAGAAAGTTCCAAATATTTTGATCTGAGTGGGAGCAAAATGTGTGTGTTTAGGGTATTTTGGGTCTGTTTTAGTGTTTGTAATAAATAAAGGAAGCTGAAGAGATGGGCAAGGGCTAGATTATGGAATCCATTTGAGAGACTTTTGCTGGACAAAAGTTCTGAGGTGGATGGCTAGGTGAGAAGATAAATGATTCCAGTTTTCTTCAAATTCCCAAAGCCCTAGTAGGTAGAAGACATTCTATTTTTCCAAATGGCAGAATCAGAAGAAATGAGTACAATTTAGGCAGTGATTTTTCTGTCACTTGGAAGGTATTCAAGCAGATGCCTGGGAAGCTATTCTGAATATTGTAAGGCATGTTCAGATATCAGGTAATCTCCCTAATTTCTATCTCTAGTCTGTGCTCTCTTTTGAATTTCACTCCTGTATTCAGTGCCTTCTTGACCAGGGATTCTTGGATGTCTCAGAAACACATCAAACTGAAAACCTGGCCTAATGAGTGGTACTAAATCCATCCAGGTTGAAAAGTCAGAATCTGGGTGTCATTCTTGGCAGTTCTCTCTAACCTCTCCATAGCCAATCTATGACTACTTTTCTCTATCTTCTCCACCAGCAATGCAATCCAAGCGACCATCATTCCTCTCCCGGATGATTTCAAAACCTCTCAAGTGATATACTGTATCTGCTCTGGCTCTCCGTCCCATGCCTTCTCCAAAATATAGCCAGAATGGTTTTACTCAAACATAAATCTGACTGGGTCATTCACTTTTTTCACTTAAAATGCTTCAATGGCTTCCCTGCTAGTCATAAAATTAAGAAGAAAAAAAAAACACGCTTAAAATCACCTGCAAACATCTGCATGTTCCATCCTCACATCTTGCATCCCTCATCTTCTGCTCTCTCTGCAGATGGGCATCCTCAGTTCTTCCTGCCTAGCAGAGCATTTGTACATGCTGGTCTCCGTGGCTAGAAGACTGCCTTTCCTCTTTCTGCTCATGTACCACTTCCTCAGAATAATCTTCCCTGATGTCTCTGACCAGGGTAAAGTCCCCCAGTACAGGTACTCCCATAAACTTTCCTTTGCATAACTTGTCAGAATTGCACTTTTACATGCATTTATGGGTTCCTCTGAGAATGTGCGCTTCCACAGATATAAGCTCTGTGGCCTGTTTTGTCACCCCTAAATTTCTAGCACCTAGACCTTTGCCTGACACAAAGTATCATACATAATAAAACCTTGTTGAGTAAAACGAATGAATCATTAAATGTAATGGGTCAGAATAGAAGTTGGATTGAATGACTAAATATTTCTAATTAGGATTAGAATTTCATTTTAAGAAAAATCCAATGGAAGGTTTTATGTGTAAAAACTAGGAGGAAGACTGAACGGAACTGGACAACTGCCAGGAAGTGGGGGATGAGAGAGAAGGGTCAACAGTGAGCAAGACATTGGTATTTACATATAATAAATGGTGTGTGGCTCTCAACAGCAGCAGTGCTATTGTACCAGAGTCAGATGCCTATTCAGGTTATAGGAGAAATTTCATAGTGTTAACAAATAGACATGGCTATGTGTGAATCTGTCTTTCCTGCCCCCTCCCCCCAGGTATTTACAAATATCCATTTAGTCAACAAAACACTGTTAGCCTCTCAGGATCAATAATAGAAATAAATAACACACAAATTACAGGTCTTTTGTGACCGGTAGAACAAATTCTAACCTATTGATTTTATTCTCAAATGTGTATTTCCCAGAGTACTGAAGGGCTGTATGGAATATGGCATAGGCCTAGATGGGAATTTTTGGTACCATAATAAGAATCGCTCCTCCTTTCCCCCCCAGTGATGGAAACCATGAGGGTATGGGTGTATCTTTCTGTTCAAACATCTTACAGTGGCTATTTCCTTGATGGTTTTTCATATTATTTATCTCTATGCAGGTTCTCTCATGAAGTAAAGTTCTAATAGAAAGACCATTGATTTGGTACTGTATGTACTCCCATCTACTGAACCAGCATAGCTCGTGGTAGACAATGGATAAATCTCATCAAAATTGAGGCTAGTATCTATGACTAAAAAGAGGATTTTGAGGAAGGAGTATTAAAAAAATCATATTGAAAAAGGAACAACTGTCTTGGGATGCAATGTATATAGTTAATACTTTATGACATTAAAGT